GGTCGCCCCTCCACTCCCCCACCCGCACGCCCCCGCTGGCCCAGCCCTGGCCCCCCCCCACGCTCTGCCGGTGCCCGCACTGCATTTGTCCCTCAAGCTTGACGCACAGCCCCCTGGGGCCAGCAGTGACTGTGAGGGGAAAGCGCCCCCTGCCGAATCAGCCCCCTTCTCATGGGATCACCCCCAAAGCCCCTCGCCGTGTGAGTTCTGCCCCCCAGCCCACGGGGAGAGGGGAGCAGACTAGAACAGACCCCAGCTCCAGTTAGGAAAGCCAGTTTATTCATGGGGCAGGGCGGGCGGGCTCCAGGGCACAGCCCCAGCCCTGGGGTGGGGAGGGGAACATGGCCAGAGGGGGAGCAGCTGGTAGAAACAGAGGAATAATTCTTCTCCCTTCCCACATCAGCCGCTCCTTAGGGGCTCCGCCCCACTGATCCTATCACTGCTGTGCAATGGGGCTGACGCACTGCCAAGTGCAGTACTGCCTGCTACCACTGGGGGGCGTTGTAAGGTCCCATGGGGCTGACGCAGGGTGCAGTATCTCTTGCTGCCACTGGGGTGTCCTGGGGGCGCTGCAGGTTGCTATGGCGCTGACGCAGAGAGCAGTACCGCTGTTGCCCCTGGGGGTCTCTTGGGGGGAGCTGCAGGTTGCTATGGGACTGACGCAGGGTGCAGTACCGCTGTTGCCCCTGGGGGTCTCCTGGGGGGAGCTGCAGGTTGCTATGGGATTGGCGCAGGGTGCAGTACCGCCTGCTGCCCCTGGGGGTCTCCTGGGGGGCGCTGCAGGCTCCTATGGGGCTAACTCAGCCCTGCCCCTTAGAGCCAGAACACCAGGTCCTGACTGCCCCATGCAGCCACCCCATCACCAGCTGCCCCTGTCCAGCGCCAGGTCTGTAGGGCTGAGGAGCAGTGGCGAGCGCTGGCGAGCTCCCCGTCCGGCATATCCACCACCCGGCTCAGAGCCCGTGGAGCCAGCGGTACAGACCTCCCGGGGGGCCCGGCTCCGGCTCACAGGGGCTTCCTCTTGAACCCGAAGACGGACACGAAGAGCAGGATCTCGAAGGCAGCAGGCAGGGCGCTGCGGGCACAAGGGCAGGCGGGATTAGTGCCAGGGGCTCTTCCATGGGCAGGGTGTTCCCGAGGGGCCCACCCCGTCCCTCCCTCTCAGGGGCATCTACCTGCAGAAGGCCAGGATGTACCAGTAGGTGGCGCTCTCCCAGCGCTCCAAGACGAAGAAGGAGAGACAGATGGAGGCGCTGCAGTGAGCAGCCAATGCTGGGGAGGAGCCGTCAGGAAAATAACCCGTCGTGGAGAGAACAGGCACCGGGAGACAGGCCCTTTGCCCTCTAGGGGTTGCCGGCCCCAGGGCGGGGACTGGATGGCTCAGGGGGGCAGGGAACGGGGTACGGGGCCTGTCCCCGCTAGGAGGCGCTGGTTCCTGGGGTGCTGTGCCGAGGGAAGGGCTTGCAGCTCCTGCAGGGGGTGCCACTGACCTGCAGAAGGCAAAGATCCACCAGTAGAGGCTGCTGTCCCACTGGTCGAAGAGGAAGAAGAGGAGGGCCACGGCGGCGGCAGTGTGGGCCCCGATGGCTGGGATGGGAGCAGAGTCAGGGACCAACAACGGGGACCGATGTGGGGGGGCAGATGCAGCTGGGGCGGGACAGGGGGCTGCCCCAGTCCCCTCTCTCCCAGACCCATCCAGGCCCTGGTCTCTCCACTGTGTATGCCAACAGTGCTAACCAGGGTGATCTTTTGGGGTTAGCTGAGTGACACCCCCTCCTTCCCATTCCCCACCCCCCTGAGCCAGGCAGTCCCTGCCCTGGGGCCGAAGGGGAGCCAGTGCCCCCTAGAGGGGACAGGCCCCGTGTCCCATTCCCCCCCCTGCCCCCCGAGACAGCAAGTGCAGACTAGAGGTGGTGCCCCCTGGGGACAACAGTCATTGTGCTGTTGGGGGAGAGCGGTAGGTGCCCAGGGGGTGCTGTAACACCAGTCGGGGGGGGGGGGTGGCAGAGTTCGTCTCCCCCAGCAGGGCGGAAGGATACAGAGCAGACTCTGCGTGTGGTTGAACATGGACACCCCGGACAGGAAGCCGGACAGCTCCACGGCGAACAAGCCCAGCGTCACCGACAGGGCCACCACCAGCCTGGGGTCAGTGCCGATGCCCGGACCAGAGACACAGGGATACATGGGCCCAGGCCGGGGCGGGCACAACCCCGCCCGCCATCCCTTACTCCCAGGCCACTTCTGCCTGCCCCGGTCTCCTCACAGGCCCAGCCCCCTGCAATCTCACGCCTCCCCCTTCTCTGAGTCCACTTCGGCCCCCTCTGCAGTCCCAGCATCCTCCCCCCGTGCCCTGCTGGACCCATCCTCCTCCCACCTGTCATCCCAGGTGTCCCCGGTCCCCCGCACACCCTGGTCTCCCCCCAGTCCCTGGCTGACTCACTCCACGTCCTGGCGCTGGTACTGCTGCTGGCTGTACTGCAGGGGCAGCGAGGCAAGGACGTTGTTGTCCTGGAAGACAGGGGGCAGCAAGATCAGCCCTGCAGGCTGCGGTGTCCTGGGCGCGCCACTCAGTGGAGGGTGGGCTGGGGCAGAGTCGGGGACGGGGCAAAGCAGAGGCAGGGGAAAGGATGCCATCCTAGCTCCCAGCCCCCCCCCCTGCTCTAACCCACCAACCCCCACTCCCCTCCCAGAGCCGGGGGGAGAACCCAGGAGTCCTGGGTCCTCACCCACCAGCCCCCTGCTCTAATCCACCAGTCCCACTCTCTCCCAGAGCTGGGATAGAACCCAGGAGTCCTGGTCCACATTGTTGCTACCCACCTCCCTGCAGCCACAACCCCTCCCGGATTCCTGCAGCCAGGGCTCCCCACACCCCTCCTCTCAATTCTGGAAAGTGACCGTGTGTGTGTGCAGTGAGTGTGCAGTGGGTGCACATGCTGGGGGATGGGATGGGCGCGATGTGTTGCATGAGGGGTGTGTGTTGGATGATCGTCTACACCAGTGGTCTCCAAACTTTTTTGATCGCGCACACCTATCAGTAAAAATTTTTGAGCATGCACCCCCTGCCGCGCCAAAGCAAAAAAAAGCACTCCTTCTGCTGCGCACCCCCCA